CCAGCTTTGCAAAAGGCACGCGGGGGGGGAAGGGGTGGAAGCACAGAAGCGCCACGTGGAGTCCAGAGCTCAAGCAGGATCACCCGCCACTTCCTCTGGAAGCCCCTTGGCACAGCGGGCCATCCTCCGTGCCAGGTGAGCCGGGGTCAGAACTTGCATGGACACACTGCCTGCTGCTCTGGTGCCTAAGCCACTGCTCACTAAGACTCCCGCGACAGCCCCCGGCCTCGCTCGCTGTCCCCCATCATTGCTTCACCAATCCCCACCTGGAAATCGCACCCTCCACGCTCTGTCGGCAGCACCAAGACCAATTGCTATGAGCACGGCTCCAGGGCGATGTGGCCTGAACAGAGAGGTCTATGGGTGCGGTACATATGAACCCGTAAAACGCGAAGCTGTATCCTGAGAAACTCACATCCTTGTAGCCGAAATACATCAGCTGTGCCCAGAAAAGCTAAATGCTTGATGTCATACCCGGACTCTTGGCAAAACTAGGAAGAGCACTCAGGGATTCAGGCTCCTGTTTCAATATCTTAATTACGTAATTACCCTCACTCAAATCGGGTGATGTGGCATTCGATCCAGCTTCCTTCACATTCCTCGTGCCGTCCGTGCCTCGCAGTGCCCACACCAAGGCAGCCCACAGAACCTTAAATAATCCCAGAGCGGCGTGGGGGCTCAGGGATGGATAGTGGGACGCCGAGCAGGAGCAGCGTCCCCAGAGCACCCGGTGGCAGGTGATCCAGCACAGGTACTACTGCTGCCAGCACCTCTCTACAAAACAATCCCTCCTACTCTCACAGACCAGGAGCTGGGACCTCCCAAGCTCCATTTTCCGCTCCCTGAGAACCTGGGCAAATCCTCCTCCAGACCCCACGCCGCTGGCAGCTTTTCCGGGCACCCCCAGGAACGAGCAGCACAGCCGGACCTCAGCCTGGCAGCCCTGCTAAAAACCTCAAGGCCCCGAGGAAGGAAAAACGCACGAGGGGAAAGAGCTGGGAAAGAAGAGACTTGCATGGAAAAAGCGAGAGCCACTGATCCTCTTTGGATGGCGTGTGGGGTAAAGCAGCTTTTAATGAGGGTGTTCAGAGCTCAGACTCGCCCCTTTCCAGACATGCCATTGAAGAAAGGGCCGAGACAAAGACGGCACGTCCTGCCGCCATGCCCCGCTCAGCCTCGTGCCTCACGGCACCCGGGATGGCTGTAGCTGGCAGTCAGGCCTGGATGGGCCCTTTGTCCGTTGCTTTTCCACGCCATGAATACACTAAAGCTTTAGATGAGCCGCTTCCTTTTCCAAACGGGAAATGGGTTTTCGGTATAAGCGTCCAGCTATCGCTGCTCACCGTTCCTCTCTCCTGGCGTACGAAGCCCCCGCGGTGCTCCGAAGGGCAAGGTGACGTGCAGGAGGCCTGGGAGTCTGCCAAGCATCGGGCACCACTGTCACCCCAGCAATCCTGCCTCTCCGCTGCGTGACATCTCGTCACAGGGAGCACAGCCCTCCCCGGAGCAAACCACAGTCCACAGGGGCTGCCCAGGGGAAAGGATCCCCGCTCACAGCCGTGCCACAGCCCCCATGAATCCCTGCAGGAAGGGGCCCCGGCAGCGCGAGGATCCAACGTGAGACATCAGCAGAGCTCCGCTGGTCCTGCTGTCTCCTAAGCCCTGCTCACCTCCTGCTCTGCCGTTTTCCACCGGCCTTGGCAGGAGAGCGGGCAGGGAAGCAGGCCCGGAGGGCCACAGGCTCTCCTCCCAAAATCTCTTTGGCACCGAAGAGCGGCACAGCTCCAAACCTCTCATTTCTGTGAGAGCCCCCCTGCAGCTCCCCGCTTCCCCCGGGACAGGCTTGGCTCAGCACCTACGATTAGTATCAACTGTACTTTCCAGGGGGGGTAATTAGTTCAGGTGAGGCAACTACGGATAGTTGGCTGCTGCCGCCCCTCTTGGCAAGCGCCCGAATCCCAAACAAGCAGCTCACGTATCAAAGGGGCGGCCTGCTCCGCAAGCAGATCCACCCTGGCCCCGTGGCCCCATGCCGGGGGTACCCACAGCTTTTCCTGCTAGAAAGTGGGGAAGCCTGGAGCATGCGGCACAGCTCGCTCGCAAGCGCTCCCCGTTTTCACCGTAGATTTTACGCACCCTGAACAGCTCTGTGCGGTGGAAGAATCCCTGAAGCGCTGTGCGGGTGGCGTTCCAGAGCCTGGCACAGGGTACATGCGATGCACAGCATCCTCTCTTCCAACCAAGGTGTCCAGGAGGGAAAGCAGTTGCCTAGAGGTGGGTGGAGGGCAGGAGCCTCAAAGAGAAGAGAGCGGGAGAGGGTAAGACAGCACCGTGCAGAAGGGGCGGGAGAGAAGGCCGATTCATACACCAGAGTTGGTTTATCAGCACGGGCAGATGGGATCCCAAGTAAACTCTCAAGTGAAGTAGCAAAATAAAACACTTCAGCCATTGAAAACCAGACGGGTCAAAGAGCCCGCCGAACAATCCTGCATTGTCCAGGGAGCCAGGAAACACATTTATTGGGTCACCCAGGCCATCTCCAGTTTCAGTGAAATTGCCCTGTTCTAGGGATGGTTCCAATGCTCTCCTCTGGCACTGCCACTGGTCTCACTGGGCAGCGGAAACCGCAGGGAGCGGAGGGAAGCGCAGGAAGCGGAGGGGTCCAGAAGAAGGTCTCACTTTTTCAAGGTTTGGGGAAAAGCACTGAGGGAGGACACTTCCCAGTGTGGATTCCCCTGGACTGAGGCTGCTCCAGTGGAGGAAGAGAAACACCCCCCCTTCGGCTCACACAGCAAGAGACTTGCAAACAGGATCAGCGCTCATTCCTCCAGTGCCGAGGGAGTTGGCAGCCAAACGCCCGACGAGCCCACGCTGCTTCCCCGTTATGCTTCAGGCCCTCGCTAAGGCCCCGAGGACAAACGGCTTTGCCAAGCAGTAGCGCCCTCGGCTTCCCAACGGGATTCCCCTCCCCACCTTTTACATCCCCAGCCCGACTGCTTGTTGCTCAGCCAGGAAAAGCGGTATCACACACCTCTCCATCCTCAGAGCTGGCGAGACACCTGCATTTCTGAACGCGGGGACCGCCGCAGCACCCAGACACGGCCGGCACCGCAAGGCAGGGTGCCACCGGAACTGCGGCCAGGAGACACCAACACCTCGGGCACGGCTTGGCCTTGACTCCCTGCAGGCACCCAACAGCCCTGGGCATCCAACACCACTCACAGGACACGGGTCCTAGTCTGGGTCAGCCCAGACACCCCAACTGGGGTAAAATACAGGGATAAGAACATCTGGAAGATGCCTTCTAACGCTGCATAAAGCAGCCAGCCCTGCAGAGCTGCAGCCTCCGGGGCGGGAGGGAGCGGGCGTTAGTCCTGCCGAGGTGCTGGGAGCATGCTACTCATCAGAGAAACAGAGCAGCCTGCAAAGCAGCAACTGCAGGGGGGTTTGAATCTGTTCCTAGTACAAAGCAGGGCAGGAGAGCTTGAGGAATTACTCAAGGAAAACCACCATTCCCAAGCAGGTACCCCCAGAGGAGAAAGCTTGTAGGAAATGCAAAATCCAGGATGTATGTCTCCCTTTCCTTGCATTTCTCACCCGCCGCGATACACCCTGGAAGCTCGCCGCAGGGGGAAATACATAGCAACAGGAGACAAGAGGGGCTCACAGTCCGACTGCAGTCCCAACCCCGCGACAGAATCCTTTACTGGTTCTGCCAGGCTTGAGGCGCACGTGGGGTTGTTTAGTTTTTCAGCCCTCAGCGCACTCATAACGAGCCAGAGCTTGCGACGCCAGTTAAACCCAGATTGCACCGAGAACATTTAACAGTTTCAAACTTGCCTGCTGTACGCAATGAGTTCAGACACACTGACTCTCCCAGCAAGAATCCACGTTCAGCACAAATAATTTAGGACACCGGATTAGTCTCAAGTGTAGTGACTAACTCCTAGAAACTTTTACAATACTTGTAAATCCCACTTGTCAGGGCAGCACCTGGAAATTAAATGAGAATCATCCCCAAGACGAGTTAAACAGTACCTCGCCGCTTCCAAGGGTAGTTGTGACAGGCTAGTGCCACCTGCTGGGAAGCTGTCCTCCAGCCCCCTTGCTCACTTTCATCCTTCCTGTTCCATGCCTTGCCTCCGGGAAGCTGGAACAAGGCAGCAACCACCCGATCAACACCAGAAAAAGCAGAAAGGGCTGGGTAGCTCCTTCAGCTGCTCAGCCCTACAGATAATTTTCCAGGCATAGGCCAGGCCACCTTACACTTCAGTCAGAAGGGATAGATGGAGGCTCATCCGCAAGAGGAATGTGCAGACCAACACCAAGATACTCCGCAGCCACCTCTGCTCGTTACTGAGCTGGTTTACAGGTAACCAGGAAGCTGAGTGGTAACGCATCCCCATACAGACCCTGGGAAGATGTTTGTCACACAACAGCTCCAGCTCCTCACGCCACCCCGACTCTGGTAGAGACAAACATCCTCACCAGTGTCCACAGGCAGCGGGAGCTCAGCCCACCAGCTTTGTTTGTAACTGGTCAGGGAGAGAAGTTGGACAAACTGTCCTTCTCACAGAGGTGGTCACTCCGAGAGGGTCACCAACAGCCAGGCCAGAAACACCAACACCACACCCCGAGGACAGGAGGGCCAGCTTCCCAGAGACACATTTTGATCTCCTTGATGAGCACAAGCGCACCAAGGTCCCTTCAGACAAGAGCCCTTTGACCTTAGGTCTGCACCAACAGCCCTGCTACAGCCAGTTTGACAGTGCTGCTGCCGGCACAGAAGGGCAGAGTAGGAAGAATTCCTTCAACCAGCCTAAAGACCAGGCCTCCAACCAGGACGCTGCCAGCTCAGGACACAAGCGGGGGGCTGCAGAGACGCAGACAAGACTCTAGCATGAGCCCTGACAAATCAAAACTGATTGGTCCAGTATCTCACTGGTTTGGCAAGATGAATGACTTCTACATACACGACCCAGCAAGATACTGCCAGCTCTCAGCAGAACCAACTCCATGTAGGATGTACTTATTTTTATTTTTATGTATTTAACACCAAGACGACAGCCATTTTGACGGGAATCATTTTGCCTCTGGTGCACAAGACATTCAGAGCCAGAGGGAACATCTCACAGTCCACAGCTTCGCTATTTCCAACCTGCAGGGACACCTCCTAGTAACGGATCCAGTACATGGCACTGCGGATACGGTTGTAATCCAAGAGCTGTTCAATAGGACCTGAGTGAACAGAACAAGAGTTAGTCACTGGAGACGCACGTTAAATCCCCGTGCAGTTTCCCATGGTCTTAAAGCAGATGGCAGAGCAGGCTGTGCTCACAGTCCAGAGCGGCCATGCACAAAGTCAGGCAACTAGAGCTCAAAGCTGCAGCGGGAAGACCAGCAGATACCGTCTCCCGACAAAGAAACCATTTCTTGTTCCCTCACACCCCTCCACAATGCTCACTACAGCTCCACATGTGAATATGAAGTACAGGAGCCTCCAAGTCATGGACATTTTAGCTAGTTCATTCCAACTTCTTGTTGAAAAACAGTCTCCCTTTCTCAAGCTGCTCCACTTTGAAGGCCAGAGGAAGCAGCTGCGTGGGGGACGGGAATCCACAACACACAGGAAGGAGGCAGCACAGCAGAGCTGAGCTGCTCAGGCAGGTTTTCTACGAGGAATTTGTCCTTGGTCAGACAGACATGCCATGGCAGCACAGGAGACTCAGGTCCCTTCACCTCCCTTACATAAACCACCGTGACCCCAGGGTAAGGACACCTGGCAGACGCCGCTGGGTCCGCACCCAGCCATGGGAATCCCAGCCTTAGTCACTGCTCCAGAGCGAGCAGGAAGGTGGGAGGACAGCCAGCAGCTCGCTGCCACCGCATCGCCATCACCACGGGTTTGATCTCCTGGCAAATGTGCCGTGGCACATCCAACGTGCAGATGTAGGAGGATACCAGCCAAGAAGCAGAGCAGTTAGGAGGCCAGAACAGACACGTGAAAAGTGCCTGCAGCTCACTTCCTCTCAGCTCCTGGTTTCTGAGCTACCATGTACTAAACACCACGTACTACTTACCAACTGCTGCGATCGCTGGGCATTTGTCATAAATGTATTTACTGCAGACCTCTCTCACCATGCTCGCATCAACGGCCTAATGAACATCAAACAAGCAATTAACAACCCTTATCAAAGTTGGAAGTTACTGCTGCCATCACAGATCAGCATCATTAAGAAGACACCGTCAGACCCTTGGGGGCTATCCGCGCCAACCGCGCAGCTCTTGTCTGCAAGGATGGCCGATGTTCCACACAGCGTATTTTTCAGAGGGTAAAGGAGACGTGGCAGTCCAAACTCTGCAACCTTCCAAGGGATACAGTGGCTGCACCATTACACAAACTGAATGCTGGCCACCTCTAGGGAAACAAAGGAATTTCAAGTTGTGATGTTTAATACCGGCCTATGCCCTCTTTCTGGGATGGACTGAATCCAGACACAGGGATACAAGATACACTGAGTCTGTGCCCGAGATTCGGGCATTTATATCCATGTCTGTGAGCAGACAGCCCAAGTCCAGGCAGCCTGACTATGGGATAAGGGAATCTCATGTTACTGCAGCAAACTAAGGCCAGAAAATCCCAAAACCAGCCATGCGCAGGTACCCCAAACAAAGAGATACCTACAGCAATCCTGGCATCCCACTCGTCCAGAGGGATACGGCGTCCGTAGTTCAAGAGGTGGCTTCCAATATTTTCACACACTGGTGTGGTACCTAGATGGTAAAGACATCACACGGTCAGCACAGCAGAAATAACTGCACAGCCCGACCATCACAGCAGACAGAAGCAACTCTCGCCATTAAACCGGCTTCTAAAGAAGCACCACCCGCAGTTTCCACTCGCAGTGGCTCCAGACGGAGTCAGGCAATGCTTCACGTGTCTCTGACGTGCTACAGCCAACGCTGACCAGCCTGAGGGTCTCAGCTCTAACTTCACCAGGCAGCACGTTGTTCACTCTCAGCAACAGAGCGACAAGAAGCTCAGTCAGAACCAGCCTGGAGCACAGCAGGTTAGGGTCAGTGGCTTTGACAGCACGACAGGAGGAACCACAGAGCGGGAGAAAGGAAGTTTTGCCCAGTGCCTGCCAGCAGTACTGCAGCACGTAGCAGAGCTCTTGCTCCCTGGGAGAGACACAAACGCTAACACTCCGAGAGCTGCGCAGCAGTCGATCCATAAACATAAACATACCATCCAGTTGAGCCACCATGGCATTTCGGAGATAGTTCTTGGCTCTCTTCACCTCTGACTCCGTGGCACTAGTGCACAGACGCATCCTGGAGAGGAGATGGAAAGACTGCTCAAGCCCTTAAAGATATTTGTCTGCTCAGGCAAAAAGTGATCTCCTCCCTTTCCCAAGCCTCTGCAGAAATAAGCCACCATCAGCATCACTTGTCTTGCAGGCTGGAGATTCACTCCTGATCATCGCGGAGCAGCTAAGAACTGGGGAGCACTGAGCAGCAGGAGCCGAGAGAAGGAGCTCAAGCTTCCAGGCAGGGGATATCAGCCAGCAGGTTACACGCGGAGTTACACTCAAAGGTCTAAGCAACCCTGGTGCCAGCTCCAGCTCTTGCCAGCTCCGGCAAAGCAGCAAGAGGCCTGCAGTGCACTATTGCAAGAGAAGGCAGGCGTGTCAGCTATTCCCACGCACGGCGAGCTGCTATGAAAACTGATGCTGAAAGAACAGGACAGTTCTACAGAGTCTGTTTGGACTCCAGCTGCTAAATCCCTTCCTCCCCTGCCAACCGCAATGTCTCTAGGGCAAGGGCTAACTCCATCCGCTCCATACACAGCTCGGCTTGGAATCTCGGACGGAGCCCCAAGCCATTACTGGGATACACACGTATACAGTAAGACAGACGGACAGAATGCTTCCAAACGCTGGCATGACTCCAGCAGCATGGTATTTATCAGCCACAACAGGCAGGCACTCTGCCTGCTTTGCTCAAGCGTAACAAGACAATGGAGACATGGCTCCTGGGCACCTGGGAAAGCCTAGTCTCTAAGGAGTGATCTCACCTGCACACAAAAACCCAAAGCCTCAGTGCTAGTATTTGGGAGCACAAATTAAAAACCTGGAGTCCTAAAGAGATTAAAACGGCTCCTCAAAAGCCACATCCTATGACATTTATAGAAACCATTTACAGGATCTCTTAACCAGAATGCGAGTTACTGAGAACTCACACAGCTCAGCTCTCCGAAGACCTAGCACGCTGCCCTCCAGAGAGGGTCAGATCTCAAACAGGAACGTTCACCGAAGCTGTACTTACCACTCCCTCTGAGCACAATACATCATATCATCTATGGACAGAGGATCGGAAACAAAATGGAACCCAAAGAGGCCGGTATCGGAGTAAGAGGTGTTGAACGTCTGGAAGCTGTGGCAGAGATTATGCTCCACAGCAAGAGCAGCCAGCCTGCTGGACTGATTCTGTAAATAAGGAGATGCCATCAGCCCTTTCAGTCTTGCAGCTCCCTCACAGCTCAAATTCTTTCCAACTGTGCTGTTTTCACAAAGACCACAGACAAGACAGAGCGGAACACTTTGCTGAAGGAGGGCTTAATTTAGGCCCTTCATGTGGTCCACAGATGAGATTCACTGGTGGAAAAGCCACAGACAATGGTCTAAGAGTCCATCCAGCAAAACCATTTCCTTTCCCAGCCACAGACGGAGAGCTGGCACGCATACCGCCATGGGAGTGGGAGAAAACGGGAAGCACAAGCCCTCCCAAGAGCAGGGGTTAGCACAGTTATGCAGGCCAGACAGATTCCAGATAAGAACAGATGTAACACTGGGGTTTGAAATGAGTTCCACCTGCTTTGCAGTTGTCAGACAAGCTTGCAGCACGAGACTACAGACTGCTCTGTCCTGCTCCCATCTCCACCCCCGCTGATCGGTTAGTCTGTGAGGGTAGGAGTAAAGCTGCTGAGAATTATTCAGCTAAACCTCTTCCAAACTTAGCAGAGAAGGCCCAGTTCACCTCCCAGCATCACCTTTCAAGATGTGTCCTGGATTAGCCTCAGTTCCACTTCTATCCCACTTTCCAAGAGACTCCTGACCACTTCACAGCTGGAAGCTAACTGCAACAGCCTCCATAAGGCACAGTCAACCAGAGTCTCCGTAACATTCTGAACGACAAGGCTGCAGGCTCTCACCGTCACACTCACAAGCCTCTTACCTTACCACCTCCAAACGTGCGGTCGTAGCGTCCAAGGATGGCATTAGCCACGTTGAGGACGACGTTGTCCGGATCAGCCCACCCCGGCCCCTCCACGGCAAGAGCGATATGGGCCACAGGCAGAGCGTCATCTCTGGCACGGATCTACAGAACCACCAAGGAGCGAGGGAAAACGGCATGAGTGCTGTGGCGCTCTCTGCAGCCCGCTGCAAGGCCAGGCTGACAAACTGGAGGACTTGCTATCATCCCAGTGAAATGAAACAATGCCAGCCACTGCTGAGCACAAACCAGCTGCTCCAATATGAGTTTTCCCACAGATAACAGCCCCACATTCCTAATGGACTTGGGTTCTATCTAAAACCCAAGAACAGAATGGGTTGGTGCAATAAGCCCAAGAACAGCATGTAAGGGCACTACCAAGATGCTGCATCATCAGCTTCTCTGAGATAAACACAGATTTTTCTGCCCAAAAGCAGCTATAACTGCTTCCACATTCATTCAACAGTTGGGCAACAGCTGCTTTTGTTTTGGACCAAACCAACTTTACCTCGCTCCCTGTGAAGCGACAGCGTGGGAGGAGAGGCACAGCATCCTCTTTGTACTTAAAAGGCACTCCACTGAAGTGTTGCTTCGCTACATCTACCAGCTCTTTGTGGGAAATACCTGGAAATGGGAAGGGGAAAGATTTGCAGTCTTAAACAACTTTATTGAAGAAAATAATCTGATTTTACATTAGAGATGTCTGACGGGTTTGATCACCAACTTGAAATATACCCAGGCTTCCCAGAATCACAAGGATCGAGAACTTACCCCCAGCAGCTGCCAGGACCATACGAGGTGCCTTGAAGTGAGTATCAGCGTATGACGCGAGATCTGCCCGAGTCAGATGCCTAGGAAGAACACAGAGATACTCAGTACATCAGCATCTCTGAGAAGCAAGACTGCACTGTCTGTGTTCTCCCTCTGCTCTGAATCCAGAACACAGAGAAGGGAAATGGTGATCAAGATGGAGTTAAGGACAAACTTCAATACAGACTAGAGTACTGACCCTGGTCACTGAGCTACCAGTACCCCTATGGGTGTGCAGGCTCAAGGCCACTGCTTTAACGAGCACCCCCAGCTCTTAATCTAACAGTGTCAAACCGACAAGTATGTGAGAAGGTTCAACCTGGCCCTACAAACCCGCTGTTTGGCATGAGGGGGATTCTAGAGAACATGTGCAGCATTAGGTTTTTGTTAGTGCCAACGGGGACAACGGTCAAGACACGACGAGAAGCCCATGGGCACAGATCACCTCTGTCTACCGCCTGGTTTGCTCGTGCAGTCACACCCCCCGAGGCCAGAACCCCCAGGCTGTGTCCCGATCCAGCCTGTTGCTCACTTGATGTTCTCCGTGGTCCCCTCGACAGTGTGAGCCAGCGCAGTCCCCTGGAAAGCAGTGGCATGAAGGTAATCAAAGGCGACAGCCGTCAGGTTGCTGTCCATTTCTTTCAGCTCCTGAAGGATGACACCACGTTCCTTCTCGATCTGAGACTCCTCCAGCGCACAGTTCTGCACAATGTCAGCCAGCAGCTCTACAACTGTAACACATTCCCTGCGTTAGCAACCCTGCTGCCTGACTGCCACCCCGGGCTGATGAGAGGAGGAGAGGCACAGGCAGCAGGGGCACTGCAAGAGGAGCGAGCGACAAACCACACAGGGCAGTGCTCTCCAACTACCAACTAGACCCTCCAGCTTACTGCCCAGCTACAGCTTTATCCCCTGCTCTGTTGTCAGAAAGGATGCTGGCGGGAGAGAAACACAAGCACATGCGCTTGCTTCATCTGTAACCCCCGAATCAGACTTTGCTCGCTGGCCATCCTACCTTTAGGCATGTCCTTGGACAAGGCTTTTATGTAATAGGCAGTCTGCTCACGCGAGGTGTACCCGTTCAGGTGAGCACCCATGCTCTCCACCTCCTTCTCGAAGGCGGCGCAAGGACGCTTCTTGGTGCCCTAAAGAAAAGGGATAGACACAATTACGAAGTGATTTCCCTCTTGGGCAGAACTAAAGCAAGGAAGAGGACAATAAAAACCTGAAATGATAAAACCTGTCACGAGATTCATAAAAGCACAGAAAGCAAGAGATGTAAAACCTGGCTTATTAACTCTAGCTAAAGGATGGTTGAGGTGTATTTTGAAAGACCAATAAAAACCCAACGCGGAAGGAGAAGACCTATGTCAAGAGAACAGTGGCTGAAGATCACATCAGTGGAAGTAAACCAAGAACAAGGCTAAACCAAAAATAAGCATGTTTTTAGCTATCCAAGCAGCCATATTCAGAAGCGGCCAGAATAGGAGCAGAAAACTTCTAATACAGAGTTCATCTCTTAAGGAGCACGCTAGATGCTGCAGTTGCCTATGATGGCACAGGCTGGAATCGAGTCAGCATGTCCCAGGCTTGGATGTCTTCTGTCCTAGGGCTGTGCAGCAGACACGTTATTAGAAAAGCAAGAGCTGTAGCCTCTAAACTTCACTGGTTCACTAAGAGAACCCAAGAAAAATTGCTGGCTAAAGGAAATGCTGCTTATATATATAGCGATCACGTAAGAGCTATATGCACTACAGAGTGGCTGGGACAGTAAGGTATTGGAACCACAGCGTCACAAGACTCAGTTTCATTTGTTTCTCACTTTCTTTTTTTCTTTTAAAAGGAGAAACACCAACTTGTAAGAGCTGCCTTAATTTACACATGCTTCCAAGTTGCTACATATTCAGAGAGCGCCACATAGGCTGGGTGCCTTTTGAAGTTTATACCATGTGCACACTCTCTGGGATTCAGGTGACCTCATTTATGCCCTCTTCTAACAGCTACAGCCCCGGAAGCGAGAGCTCAATACGTAAGTGAATATTTAGAACAGCTCTCCACACCGCCCTGAGCCAGACCTACCGCACCTCCTTACCTTAAAGGCCAGATGTTCCAGGAAGAAACCAGCCCCGTTGTTCTTCTTGTCTTCATAGCGGCTGCCCACCCCGATCCACACACCCACCTAAGGGCAAAAGCGTCAAGTGCACATATTAGGAAAGAAAACAAACAGCCCGCTCAAGCCTCAGGCCACAAACGTTAACAGCAGGGACCAGAAGTATCCGCCACAAACACTGCACTACTAGGAGCAAAACAAGAACACGCACCAGCAACTTTCCTGTACACCTCTGGACTTCTTCTCTAGCAGCTTTGCAAAAGCCTTTCCTAGTTTTGCTAGAGATATAACTACTACTGGTCACTTACTGTTACTCAAAAGCTATAAGGCTCAGAAAGGTCAGGGTGCAAAAGCTTGACTACAGACTTACACAAAGCCAGGCTAGGCTTTCTACTGCTACAGTCACCATAGAATGGTTT